CAAGCCTATAAAAGTGTAAGTATACACTTACCATGCTAACTCAGCAGGATATATAACTTCAGAAATCTTCATGTGACAACAGGAGACAATGGTGAATTACATATGGAAATTTTAAAATGTGTGCACAGTGTATGAAAATTTGTTTAATCGCCTCAAAAACCAAACACTTATTGAAAAGTTACTGAAAATAAAATGAGTTTCATTTTTCTCCACAACTTTCACTAAAACATTTTTTGCTCCAATAAATATTCTGGAAGCTAGCTTCAGAAATATTCAGAACTGCATCCAGGCCTTCAAGCAAAGTGATCATCAAAATTCTTTGACCTAAAATTCGTATGGATTGACAGTTTTTTTTTTTTTTCAAAATTCTACAATACCAAAACGTCTGGAGTTCTTTCATGTTCACAGAAAGACAGACCAAATGACCTTAATACAGACTTCACTCTAATGCAAACATGCCTAAAGTGGAAAAATGATAAGCTGCAAACCTGATAAGCCACATATGGATAATCAGTAATATACAGGGGATGGACAAAAATATGGAAACACCTCATGAAATGCACGCCTGAGTTGAAGTGTTTATTTTAGAGACGTCTGTAGGTCCATGCTGTCATATCTGCCCAACACCACTACCTGTACAACCTCCGCAATACGTTGCAAGTTTCATCTGTTGTCGAGACAGTGTTCTGTGCAATTTTTTGAGCATCACGTCAGAGCTAATGGAATTTGAACACGGGCAAACTGTTGGGGCCCATATGGTGGGTGCTTCCATAACCAATGTAGCTGAGGTTTTTGGTGTTTCACGAGGCACGGTATCCAAGATTATGACCGCATACAGGAGGACTGAAAAAATCGCATCTCATAAACACCAGCATGGACGGAAATGTGTGTTGAGTGATCGAGACAGACGAACAATGCATAGGATTGTGACGAAAAATAAGAAGACTACAGCTGAAAAAGTGACTGCTGAACTGAATGTCACGCTCACAAACCCTGTCAGCACCAAAACAGTACGAAGGGATCTCAACAAGCAGGGTATTTCTGGAGGAGCTGCAATTCCAAAGCCACTCATCAGTGATCAAAATGCCACTAAGAGGACAGTGTGGTGCCAAAGTCATAAATCCTGGACTATGGAGCAATAGAAGGTCATTTGTTTGGATGAGTCCACCTTCACACTCTTTCCAACTTCTGGCCGAGTTTACGTCTGGAGAACGCCATCCCAAGCTTACAATCCAGATTGTTTGCTGCCAAGAGTGAAACATGGCAGGGGTTTGATCATGGTATGGGCAGCCATATCGTGGTATTCTGTTGGACCCATCATTACCCTGCAAGGTCACATCACTGTCAACGACTATGTGACCATTTTGGGCAACCAGGTCCATCCCATGGTGTAAACTGTTCCCTAATGGTGATGCCATTTACCAAGCCAACAATGCCTGTGTTAACATAGCTCACATTGTTCAGGACTGGTTTTCTGAGAACGAAGATGAAGTGTCACATCTGCCATGGCCCCCACAATCACCAGATATCAATATTATTGAGCCTTTGTGGTCCGTTTTGGAGAGTAATCTGCGCGCGCACTATCCACCTCCATCACCGATAACAGAACTTACCATGTTTTTCAGGAAGAATGGTATAAGATTCCCTTGCAAATCATACAGGACCTCTATTTATCTATTCCAAGGAGACTGCAAGCCACAGGTTGTCCTACTCCATATTAGTCACGGTAATGTGTTTTTTGTTGGGTGCTTCCATATTTTTTTCCATCCCCTGTATATTCCTGTTTTATCAGTTTTGTGGATTCCTTTTCCTGTCCCACATTTTGTTCCTGAGCCAGTACTTGCACTATTACCATAGCGAATTATTACATTTACAATGCATCAACTGCTATCCTAAATAATACTTCATGAAGGTACATATTCATGGCTAACATTATTATTAAATATAATTATAGTAACTGAAGAGTTCTAATTCCTGGGATATAACACTGTGTAGTCTGTTGAAAAGTCAACCAACGTCTACGAGCAATCAATATCTGTTGACTTCTAATGGACGGCACAGTGTTACACCCCAGGAGATAGAACTCTTCTCAAACAAAGCTGCGAGATTCTAAGCATTACAATCACAGCAAGTGATTTCCTGACAATTTCATATTTCATATTCCCTTAAATGTTAAAACTGCTTGAAAGTTCACCACTGCACAGTTAAAATTTTCTTTGACATGAAAATCTTATTGATTTTGTTAAAACTCTTCATAGCATGATGAAGGAATATACAATGTGCACAGGAGTCATAACATTTTAATTTTTCCACTTTATCTTCATAATCCCCATATCTTAATGAGCTTCTTTTTTTTTTTACCTCGGAGCTTGGCTTAATTTGGTTTAATCTTGAAGCCTTTGTGTTCATTTTTACTTTTTCTATTGCTAGTGGGGTGGGACTAAGTCCCTTATACTGCGGCCACTTCTGGCCTATTGTACCAGCCCCAGATGATAGGTGAGGGTGATTGTGGAGGAATTGGTGGAATGAAGATTGGCAGGGGAAACTGAAGTACTCGGAGAAAACCTGCTCCAGCGCCACTTTGTCCACCACAAATCCCACTTGACCAGACCCAGGATTGAACCTGGGCCATCGCAGTGGGAAGCCAGCAACTAACCACTTGAGCTATGGTGTGGCCCTAATGAGCTTCTTACTCGGGCTTAGTGTATTACATATGTAGCCCGACATTCTTGAAAATTTTAATATTTTACTCATGACTTCTGGCTGTTTTGTGTTGTATTATATATAACTGCCCTCTCTTATCAGGACTGTAGACTACAGCAGAAGTACAAATCCACTTGAAAATACAGTGGAACCTCAATCTTCGAACACAATCCGTTCCAGGAGATGGTTCGACTTTCAATTTGTTGACTTTTGAGTGAAATTTCAACATTTGAAATAATATAAATTGAATTAATCCATTTCAGACCCCCAAAATTTAACCAATATAAAAAATTTTAAGTGCCTATTTCAAAAGATCATACTGGTAAATAATGATAAAACAAGGATATTTAATTACAATAATTGAATGTTTTTTTTTTTATTTTTAGTAGTACATACATGAAAACTATTGTATAATAATCAATCAATAATAATAGTAGGAGGTATATTACTCTTCACTACAAGGTGAATGATTCATCTTTCAAATGGAATCCACTAGTTGGCAGTTCTGGTACATTAATATTATCTTGGAGAGAAACCTGTCTAACGTCATTTGTTTCTTTTTTCCTATTTTTTTTTATGTCTAGACATAAATTCTTCAGCACCAGGACTATCTTTTGTAATGTCACTATACAAATGTCTAGCCTTCTCACATATAATGGCTTCAGAAACACTATCACCAGCCATCTGTTTTTCATTGATCCAAACTATTTAAAGTTTTTCCACTTCTATTGCTGACAATCTTTCACTGGTAAGGGTTTTTACCCCTTTGGCCATATTAGCCACTTTAATGGCTTCCTTGTTCTTCAGTATGGTCGATACGGTTTACTTAGCCATGCCATATTGAGCAGCAAGGTAAAAACAGATTAAATTTGTAAGATGCTCACTGAACCAGTCATAGGAGAACTGACTGAACAACTGCATATGCAACCAAACAGAAAGAGGTGACCACATGATTCTTTGTTCAAGTTTCACAACCAGATCTTCCTCAAATTTTTTGTTCAAGTTTCAAGCTGTTCGAACATTAAACCATTCAATGTTCAAGGGCCCACTGTACTAACATTTCCAAGAACACAAAGCTACATAAATGGGCTTATCATAAAGCTTAAAATATAATAACTGCCATTCTATAGTGTATATATCAAACAAGCTGGCTCAAGCAGTTAACACTTCTGACTTGCTTTCAGGAGGCAACTACTTCAAACAGTGGCCACAATACTAACTACACTGACTGAAGTTTTCATGGTGTTTCTGAGCAACTTCAGGCAAATGTCAAGGTCAGTACCTATACTCAGTCCATAACTGGTTCCTTTTTTGTACAATTCTTTCCCCCTTACTTGGTAACGTACAACAAACTGTTACCAAGTTATTCACAGCTAGCTCTGACATGTTAAAATATCATTCATACCTAACACAGTTACAGCCAGTCTTCAATGTTAATAACATTCAAGACTGGGACATACATCAATATAAGGATATTAAAATTACACATAATTCTGATGGACTCATCTAACATTCCTGTCACAATATGTGAAAAAACTAAAAGAGAAATTTCTGTAGTATATAGTAATTTTAATAAAATTCTTCACGCCTATCTTAAATTCTGATTATATTAGAAACATGCAAAAGATACTCCAACACTGAACACATCCTGAACCACATATATCACACAATTTCATATGATTACCATAACTATGACTGAATTCTGACAAGCTTCTGCACAAAGGGCAATCAGTTCTGGTGCAAGTGGATATAACTTTCACACTTCAGTTTCAAAATTCTTAAACAGTTTAATACAAAACTTCGTTCATAAACTTCATGCTTCAGCCACTTTATCTGCATGGAACTGATGTGATAAAAATTTACATGTAGGCAGAGTATGTTAACACATGAGTGTTATAAATATGCAGATTAAATGCAAGTCAGTCACTGGACAACATACAATATAATCATGCCATAGTAAGCTAAGTTACATTTTCTCAAAATTCATTAAATTTTGGGTTATGTTTATTGCATACACTTCACTTCGATGTCCTGTCATTTATTTCCACCCCAGATCTTTCCTCCCATTCTATTAATACTCACTGAGTCTGTCATATAAACTCAACTAAAAATGTGCATGTGATATGGCTGATTGGCATCTCCTGTACTACAACAGCAGGGACCATGAGCAAGACACAGTGTGCAAATAATAGCCGTAACATTCTTCAGTAAAATTCTGCATTATGTTGGTGAACTTTTCATGCAGTTTAGAGAGAGGGTAACCGACTTGGTTCTACGACATGCCAGGTTCAGCTTACTTTTGAGTGGCGAGCCTGGTACAGCTGTTTGAGTTTCCATTTCCACCTTGAGCTTGTTTGAGTCAATAGGGCTTCTAACTCTCTCAAAACATTTATCGTTGTCTGGCACCTCACACTTCCGGATCTTCATTTCTTGCCTCAAGTCTGTTGATGGAAGAAGAGAATATATGATATACTTCGCTCAGATGTACTTAACATTATCATGATGACTACATGTTCAGAAGAGAAGCAACATTTTCTAGAGTAAAAAACACTTTCATTCCTAGAAAAAGCATGGTACATAATAAATCATATGGATAATAATTCCTATCAGCCATGCATTTTAAGGTACTTCCAGATGGAATTAATGGCTGAAATTCAGAATATATGTAAAGGGTTTTGAATAGGTGACTACAAAAATAAAATGTACCTTGGAAGTGCCATGGGTTCAAACTCCAGGGCACTGTTCTGCTTTATGTTTCTTCTAAATGGGAAGTCTGAGAGAAATACAGCACAAAAAACAACCATTTTCATCAGCTAGAGTAAATAAATTTTTTATTCCCAATATAAGACATAGGGTGATCTATAGTACATATGCAAGGAAATTTTATCTCCTAAATCACTGTTTGGCAGGCTGTATTCTGCTGAACCCTGGAGTTCACAAGAGGTAAATGTATAACGTTCAAAAAGTAACTCATTTTACAACCCCACTGCTATCACAACAATATAGTTAACTGCATATATTTCTTCATTACTCTTTTAGCTGCACTGTACCAATTAAAAGAACATTTTCACTCACTGGGTAGACACTACTGTGTAAATTCCTAACACAACAATGTATATATCATTCTGCATGTGCTTACAAGACAAGTGCAATGGTACTCCTGTAACAACAAACTGCTGCTGAACTGAACTCCTTCCAATAAATTATGGCAGTTCACAATGAGCTTTCATGAACTAAGGAATGTGAGCAGAGTGATGCTGACTATTCATTAATCAAAATATCAATTAGTGTGTAAATGTTATATATATATATATATGCACACAAACACACATGGGTGGACAAAATAATGGAAACAATAAGAAATTGAGGAACAGAATCTGTTTGTGTTAGCTACATTTCAATAACTTCAGCTGGCAACAGTGAATGTTCTTCCATTTGTTTACATTCTGTAGTGCTTGTGTCCATGCAACAGTGATTGTGCTGAATGACAGTCTGCGTGAAATAATAGGAAAATAGGACACTTGTCCAATTTTGAAAGAGGACAGATCATTGGTGCTCATTTAGCTGGCGCATCTGTGATAAAGACTGCCACATTACTATGTTTATCAAGAGCAACAGTTTCTAAGGTTATGTTGGCATACACAAATCACTGGAAGACAACATTAGCTAAGAGGAACAGTGGGCAAAAATCAACACTGACAGAGAATGTCGTACACTGAGAAGGACTGTTTTGAACAATCACAGAAGTAATGCAGTACAGGTGGCAGGACTGAATATTCATCTTACAGACCCTGTTTCTACAAAAACTGTTCTGACCATAAAACCTGGATATCAAACAAGAGGAACTGTGCACGTGATGTGGTCACATGAGTCATCCTTCATGCCATTCCCAACATCAGGAACAGTTTATGTTTGGAGAACCAAGGAAGCCTACAATTTGGAATGGCTGGTTCCAAAAGTGAAACATGGAAGAGGTTATGTGATGGTTTGGGCAACAATATTGTGGTACAGTATTCTGTGGGTCCCACTGTTAACCTTCATGGCCAAATTACCGCTAGAGTGTACGTGAACAGTTTAAATAATCAGATACGTCCCATGATCCAGATGTTATTTCTGAATAAAATGCAAGTTTTACATGATGATAATGCTTCCATTCAGACAGCTGCAACTGTTCCGTCATGGTTTCAAGAGCATGAAGCTGAATTTCAACAACTTCCATGGCCAGCAAAATTACCAGATTTGAACATCACTGAACCACTCTGGTCAGTTTTGGAGACTAAGCTGAGAAACAGAATCCCATCTCCAAATTCTCTAAAGAAATTTTATGTTTTTCAAGAAGAATGGGGTAATATTCTGCTAGACTGTTCAAAATTTGTATGAGTCCATTCCAAGAAGAACTACGGCTGTATCAAAGGCAAAAGGTGGTCCAAATCCACATTAATAAAGAAATGTGTACAGTATCTGTAGTGTTTACATTATTTTGTATCAGTCTTGTAAATGCATTCTTTCATAGATTATTGATATAAGCCACTTAATCTAAGCTCATACACATATTCTTTTTATTATTATTTTCTGATAATGAATTCCTGGTTCAAAACAGAAGCTGAAAGAGAAGGGAAAAACACAAAGCAAGACCACTTACACAATAATAAGAACAGATAGAGCTACATGTACTTCAGACATTGAACTCAAAATTACAAAAATATAAATTTAACAGGTACTGTAAATTCAGATTTACAACCGCTACCAATTCCAGTGCTACAGGACAGACATGAAGTTCAACAATTTTTCAGTATGAGCATCCACCAGAAAAAGCAATTTTATTAATTTTACATCACCAGTCAGAGTTTGGAAGCTCTTAGAAAATCATGATTAAGAACTGTTGAAACATCAGTCAGAAGACAAGGTTACAAGAAAAGAAGGAGAAAAGAAGTATGCAGACACCACGATAGACTGGTTCTAAGCTATCTGATGGTTTCACTGAAGTATCTAAATCTCCAGACCATTTTCAAATGGACAGATATAACTGCAGTTTAACAGATGCACTGAAGTCCTGTCTGCACCTGCAGAAATATGACTGAACAGAGAAGATACAAATTTTGACTCTGGTTGAGGCATACATGAAGTCTGTAATGTTCTTCAAATACGCACATTTCATTCAAAACCCATATAAGGTACCTGCAGAGCAAGGCATACTGCTAAACACGAGGTAAGGGAGACCTACTGAAAATCAAACCAAATCATGAGTGGCAAAATAATGTCACGTTACCTAGGAAACACGCAATATTATGAGTGTGAAGAAATAAACCAACTATGTGCAGGAATGAAAGATTATGTTTCACAAAGTGGATAAGAATAATTCGTGAATAAAAACGGAACGAAACCTTCAAAAAAGGTCATATTAGATTTCAGAAATAACATCCAGACATGAAAATATGCGGGCAAATTGAGAAGTCTTTGCCCTTATTTTTTTCAGCAACAATAATACACATATAAGGAAATCAAAATATAGGCAGTGTTCTAAGTACCTTTGACTATTTTTCCAAATAGTCACCACCCCGGTTCAGGCATTTGTCCCGCAGCACCACTAGTTTGGAGATGCTGCTCTTGTAGAATTCAGCTGGTTGAGCGCAGAACCACCGCCGGACAGCGGTTTTCACGTCGTCATTGGAAATGAACCTCTGGCCTGCCAGGAACTTCTTCAATGGATCTTCCTGGATCTCACTGTCACCGGAGATGAAATGTGGGTATTGAATTTCACCCCGGAATCCAAGCTACAAAGCATGGTGTGGAAACATCCTGGTTCACCTGTCACGAAGAAATTCTGCAAAATGCCATCCGACAGGAAGTTGATGGTCCCAGTCTTCTGGGATCGCTGAGGACCACTCCTGCTGGATTTCATGCCATGAGGTGCCACCATCAATGCAGACAGCTATTGTGGCACACTCACATGTCTGCGAGATGCCATCAGGAAAAAGTTCCCGGGGATTCTCGTGGATGAGGTGGTTCTTCTCCATGACGCCAGGCCTCATGTGGCAAACAGGACCACTGCCCGAATGCAGTCATTTGGATGGGAGATTATGGAGCATGCACTGTATAGTCGACCTCGCTCCCTGTGATTACCACGTGTTCGGTCCACTGAAGAAGTTCCTGGCAGGCCAGAGGTTCATTTCCGACAAGGAAATTCTACAACAGTGGCATCTCCAAACTAGTGGTGCAATGGACAAATGCCTGAACTGGGATGGTGACTATGTGGAAAAATAGTCAAAGGTACTTAGAACACTGCCTGTATTTTGATTTCCCTGTATGTGTATTACTGTTGCTTCTCCATATTTGCTAATTTGTTTAAATGGTGTTAGCTGGAGTACACACTGTATGTATGCATCACTTGCCAGAACATTAAACTAAGGTTTCAGAGGTTTTTCTCTGATATGCAATATTATGGACCTGCGGGAGCAGAAAATGAAAGCTGTACATTAAGCATAACCCACGGCTAGAAATAGCAATAATCGAATCTGCTTTTTGGCAAGACTAGTGATGAACAAAGTTAGTTCCAACAGTTGAGAGTGATTGACAAAACTGAAGATTAATTACAACACAGCCTTGACTATCTATTCGCCAATTAACTGTGGAGCTTCCTTAACCCCTTATTTACTGATTAGATCTTCTGTAACAATTCCAGTGTTGACAATTATATCTGTTTCAGTAATATACAGCATATAAATTATATCTGCCACAATATGCAGGGCCATCTTCTCAGCTTCTTTGAACAAAAAGACATCTGTATAACTGACAAGTCACCTGTAGACTCTAGGGACTACAGGTTACAGATTTATAACTTCAATCAGCACATGTAATTTAAACTAATAGACACTGTGGGATATCTCAGTTAAATTTCAGTATCAAATCTACTTCAGCCTTTGACATTTAATTTACATTCATTTGGTGCAGTTTGTATTTCCTTTTCTCAGTCTCCATGTGTACAGGGTTATGTAAAACTACTTACCTTATTTTGAATTCGGTTATGAAAATGGTGGGAAATAACAGAAATATGACAGAGGAGTGAAAAAGGAACTTCAATAATAAAAAAAAAGGCAGCAGTACCTCATTATAAACCAGTACTAAGAGAAACAACAGTATGCAATATTTGGTAAATGAATAATAAAGAAATTAGGCTAGCAGTTCTGATCTAACCCACAGATTATTAAAGTGAAGAATCATGAGGCCATCAACATATGACATGATAAAGATTTGCTGGAATGGTTTAATTAGTAAAGGGCACAAAGGATTCCTGTTTCTGAAAAATCTGTGCTTAACTGACCTTCACTTCAAGCATCAGGAATGTAAGGAAATCTCAAACTTTCTCTGAGCTGGTTAACATGATTCAAGCAATAATATGGCATTCAAGGACTGCCACACAGAAGAAATATTAAGTTCTCACAAACAAGGTGAATGAATAACAGTGACTTTGAAGACTTAAAAAAACTCATAAAGTCCCAAGCAAATATGCAATGCTGATAAGAATGGAATCTCATCCCATGGCATTGCCATTCATGTTGTGCACTAGCTTGTTGTGAACCTGGGAATAAATTTAAGAAGAAAATTACTGTGTTGTGTTGTGCCAACACTACCAGCTGATGTAAAATTACTCTTTGCGTACCAGTAATGCAAGCAAAGAAAATGCACATTCCTTCAAAGGAACTAAAAGCACAAATATGACTGTCATATACCTTAATTAGCAGGGTGCACATATGGATCATTCAATTTTCAAATCGTGATTTGTCAAGAAATTTGTGCCACATACATGATGAGCATCTAACAACAAAGGGTTTGTCAGAAAAGGTTGTAGAGTTGTGAAGGGCATTGGCACATGAAAGTGAAAATGTCCTGAAATCAGATCATTGTAAATTATTTGTGAAAAATGTACCACTTAATGTGACTGCTCTGACAACCAATGGATCACAAACTTATTTCCACAACAAAAATGCACTACAGGGACAACATGTTGATGATAGCAAAAATATCAAAATCTTGTGCAAAGAAGTTGGCTCTATACATATACAAGGTGTCACATGTGATACTGTAAAGACTAACATTAGTGAGTAACTGAAAAAAGTATTTCTATATCACAAAACTGCTAAAAGCAGTGATAAAAAGATGATATGTCAGTTGTCATGTAGACCCCCATTCTGCAAGAGACAGAAGGCTTTGAAAAAGATGATAGTGAAGACAAAGCAGTGGTTTGATGCCCATTGTACTGGCTCAGATTATGAACTGCTGTGTAGCGTGGGGGGCAGGGGTGGTTGTGTGTGCATGTGAATGTGGGAAGGGGAGCAGAGGGGGGAGGAAAGCTTAGGCCAAATAACAGGTTTTTTCACAACACACTGAATCAGTGCAGTGGGATAATACAGGTGGAAACTCAGTTCACTGCATAAATGAAACTGGACAGTTAAGGAAAGAACACACTGGGAGTCATAATTAGCAGGGTACATAACCATGAAACGGTTTGGAAAAGTTGCCTTCCTATGACCCATAACTGTTCCATTGCTGACCTCATTCACTTTTAAGACAAGTAGTCTCTTCAAGCATTCCACCTCCTCAGTAGGCTACTGTGAGAGACTGGACAATACAGGAAGTGAAACATTTTAGAGAATAATTAGCATAATGGGGCACATGTGGTAACATAGTAGGTTGAGGCACTACTACAAGCCAGAAGGTCACAGGGCTTGAGTCCCAATGAGGTGAATTTTTTCTACTAACCTAATCCTTCCAGCCGCACTGTGGCTCTGGGGTTGACTCAGCCTCTAAGAGAAATGAGTATCAGGAATCTTCCTGAGGCATAAAGGGCAGCTGGCGCACTGACAACTTTACTGCCATCTGTGAGCAACTGTCTAGGGAAAATGTGGAAGCCTTGACTTTTCACAACCCTATGGGCCTTCATGACCTGTTACAGGGATAACTTTACCTTACTAGTCTAATGATTGCGGCTTAGTATCCATGCCTTATATGTTCCAGATGACCTCCATGGCATTCAATACATTTCTATAATCGCTGTCTGAAATTCTGCATAACTCATTGCAATAAGGCTCCACTAACTGTTCCAGTTCCCCCTTGTAATGCACTCCTTCAGTTCTTGGGTAGAGTTGGGGCAAGTAGCATACACCCTAGACTTCTGATACTCCCACAGGGAAAAGTCTGGCTGTCAAGTTCGCAGAATTAGTGACCAATGAATGTTGCCAAATCATGAAATTAAGTGCCCTCAGTATATTCCCCTGATGAAACTTATGCTTTACTTTGCTCTCTGGGCCAATGCACCATCCTGTTGAAACCATACATTTCTCACTCTTTGCCTCATCCTTTGCAGTTCTGTAGCCAAAAATGTTCGTAGTATAACACAATAACAATCAGAATCCATGGTAATGGCCTGGGTGCATTATACCAAACAAGGAAACACCACACCAAATGACTTTTGGTATGAAGAGGTTTCTTGTGGATGTATATAGGATTGTTATCACTTCAATACCTGAAATGCTGCCTGTTTACATAACTGGACAAGTGGAATTGGGCCTAATCTCATATGATCAAAACATTCAAAACCAGTTCATTAAGCACAAGGTACAAGAATTCCGCAGAGAAATTCCCACAGGAGGCTTTATCCTGTTCTACCAGTTCATGAGTTACATGTTATTTTGTATGGATAAAGCCTGAAGTCTCCATGCAAAATTCTTTGAAGGGACCTCACTCATGGGGTGTTCTCATGTGCACGGCCAACAAACATATCCACTACATTAACATGAACACTGACATCATCAACCCACTTCACAATGGCATTACGTGAAGGATCTCATACTTTAGAATACTGAACTGACACAAAAAACGTTTCTGCAATTGTGCAACAGACTTAGTTTCAAAATATGTTCTTAGAGTGAAAATTCCATGTTTCACCTTCCAGTTCTCCAGGACTACTAAACTGTACAAGGTGTGGCAATAAAGAAACCGGATTACTTTTATGACTCATTTCCGGCCACGTCATTGACGAAGAGGAGGGTAGGGCATTGACCCTTGGACTTCCCTCTACCGTCACACAAAGTTTCATTCACGTGCATCGGTTAGTCTGGCCGCGACCATTGTTAGAAGCGGATCGTGTTTCTGAGCTCCGTCGGAATAATGCTGAGTGCTAATGCAGAACAACGTGCTAACATCAAATTCCTCACAAAACTTGGAAAATCTGCCACTGAAACTTACAATTTGTTGACAGAAGTATATGGTGATCAGTGTCT